ATGATAGTAATGATGATGATGATGATGATGATGATGATGCTGCTGCTGATGATGATGATGATGATGATGATGATGATGATGATGATGATGATGATGAGGTTTGAACGTTCTGATGGCAAGTTGGTGGTGGGGGAGACGACGGCTGTGGTGACGTAAACGGTTCGCGTAGTGTTTTCCACCGGAATGGCGGTGATGATGATGATGGGAAAGCGAATGGAGTTAAATACTCATTCGAGTGCGGGCGATGATTGTGATGATGACGACGCGAGACTTTGACGTCGCCGCATCACCAAAAGTAGTGAACCGATGATGCCAGTCAGAATGGCAGCGATGATGAGAATAATGATGGCCATGACGAAAATGAGTATTACCATCGGGATAATGCCAACTTATAGTTTGGATACGGAGGACGGGGGAGACGACCGTATTGATGCTGAGGGGTGTACTGGAAGCGACACAACTCTTGCATCAACCACCCGACCTGTGCTATAACCTGAGCGCGCCCGATGATGAGGATGATGGATGAGACGATCGATGCGACGACGTGCTCGCAAAGCGTAGCGGGTCCCATAGTGATGATGATGATGATGATGATGATGATGATGATGATGATGATGATGATGATGATGTTAACGATGATGATGATGATGATGATGATGATGATGATGATGATGATGATGATGATGATGATGATGATGCTGATGCTGATGCTGATGCTGATGATGATGATGATGATGATGATGATGGCCCAGATGATGATGAGTTGCGGATGAGGACGGTGGGTCGATCTAAGACGATTTTGTTCATGTTGACGATGATTGCAAAGCTCGGGTTTGACGTGCAGCTTCACCAGCAACACCAGGCCAATGATGTCACCAATGAAGATGATGAAAACAATCATGAGACTTGGCATGACGGGTGCTCGTGATGAGAACCGATGAGGATGAGGAGGAACACGCTGGGAATGGGAATGACCTTGAGCATGAATGCGACCATGGCACGCGCTTGTGCATGACAGATCTGTCCAAGCTTTCCCGGTGCGCACCTAGACTGCGCAAGAGCTTGAGCGGGCGGGTAGCGCGCGCGATGTTTCTACACACACATATATATATATATATGTATACCTCTACACCCCGCCATTGAGGATACGAGTGAAGGGGCGCCCTTTGGGGTCACGGGGTGGGTCGCGGGTGGGTCGCGGGTGGGTCGCGGGTGGGTCGCGGGTGGGCCGCGGGGTGGGTCGCGGGTGGGTCTCGGGGTGGATCGCGGGTGGGTCGCGGGCGGGTCTGGGTGGGGACGACGCATCAAAACAACAGCAAAACGACAACAAGAATCCTCGCTGTGGATCCCCACTTCAGCCACGCACCCAGGGACCGTGAATGACCCGTTCCAGCACCGACCCCAGCTCCGACGCCGACGGCGGGCACTCCGACGCCGGACGACGGACGCTATTACGACAGCGTGGGTGGGAACAGGGACACGACCAGAGGAGCACAGTCGAGGCTTTGACCCAAGGAACCCTGAATAAGGAACGAGGCCCCTTCGATCCACAAGTTGAACTTCGATTTCCATCGAAAACCAAAGGAAAAAACCCAAGGCAAATTGTGAAGCAATCAAGGAACACGGAGCCCCTCCCCAACGAAAAGGGTTCCTGCTTCAGCGCTCCGACTGTATGCCGTGACGTGCCCAAGCCCTTTTTTGCGAAGAACACACATCGGAGCACCATCTCAGGCGCCAGTTGCAGGACACCAGTGCCAACTCCGACCATGGTTCCGACCCCCCTTCCGACGTGTGTCCCAGCTCCTGCTCCAGCTCCGACGCCGTTGATGGAGCCCCGCATCTCTGTGCAGCACCGAGGGCACCAGCTGTATGGCGCCAGCGACCATCCCGTTTCCACTTCCTACTCCCCTGCCAACGCCTGCGCCGTCCTTGCAACTTGCATTGGGCTCGTTGGGGGAGGGGCGCAGCAGTGACAGCAATCGACGCTCGTGCCTCATGATCCATGACGTCGCTGTGGACGACTATTCTGGCTATGCCGGCCTATCTCCCCTGGACACTCTTGCTTCACTATGGCAGTTCCCAATGCAATGCCAACGCCAGCCCCAGCGTACGGACTTGCTCGGGCAAACATACCAGCTCCGAGGCTGGTGACGATTACTCCATTTTGGGTGTGCCGGACGATGCGTTGGACAGTCTTGCTTCGAGATGGTGTTGGTGACGACGATGATTTCGGAGTGCTGGTTTATCCGATGGACACTCTTGCTTCTTGACGGCACCTCCGTTTGTAATGCCAACATCAGCCGTAGTTCACATGCTTATTTTGACGGACATGTCAGCTCCGAGGCTAGTGACGACAGCTCGATTTTGGGTGTAACGGCATATCCGCTAGTCATTCTTGTTTCACGACGGCGCTGATGACGACGATGCTTGTGGATGACGGCTACAGCACCGTTTCCGACTCTTGCGATGTAAGCTCTTATTGTGTCGCCATCTCCGATTTGCTCTGACTCCGACGCCTGCCCCTACGTCAACCGGGTCTGGCCTCGGCCACAGCTCTGACGCCTGTATGCCGGCTCTTAGATCGTCTCCGACTCTTGCTCCGACTCGTCGACAGCAGTGGCTATGGCCCCAGCCCCAAATGTTGCCTGGGCGCTGGCTCCAGCTCCAAAGCGCCCTCATTCTACGACGCCGGCTCCTATTTCTGCTCCGACCTCATCCCCGACGCCGGTTCTGATTGCAGATCCGACATTCTACACAGCCACCACCATGTGTCCTCCAAACTCTGCATCTCTGCCCGACGGTATCGATTGCCACCACCTTGCCCCATACGATTTGAGAGAAACTCCGCGCTTGTTTCCGTTCTGCTGGTATCGAGCGTTTCCATGTTGCCCACCACGATGGAGGTGAGCACCACGTAGGCACGAGTATTGCAGAGTTGAAGACTAACACGAAACGGGCGCCCCGACGGTTCACCCGCTACGACGGTTGGCGCAGCCGACCACAGAAACGAAGTCCAGCGTCCACCACATTGACGCACAGCACCACGCCGCTCCCCATCACTACGACACGGTGCGCGGCCAGGCTGCTCGCGACGGAGTCGAGGACCATTACGGCTTTCAGCACCATTGCACCCGCCACGGAGTCGTGCTCCAGGGCGGTTTCTATCCAGACGAGATCGAGTACGGAGTATTGCAGTAAGACGGAGGCCACATGAAGATCCCGCTCGCCACACCGAAACCCAGCGCTACAAACTACCACGGTGCCCGCAGCGATGAGGCCAACCACTGCGTCGTCATATTGTACACACTCTGTGGACTGGTGGTGTCGTTCGGGCTGGTGGCACGGCCTCGTGTTCTGAGGACGGCCGCAGCTAATTGCACCAGGACCCATATGTCATCCTCCTCGCCTCCCGTCTTTTGATCATGTGTTTAACATGTATTTGATGTCTCGGTGCCCATCGCATACGAATGCCAGACCCCATTCGGCCGCCAGCGGCCAACCCTAGCCACCGTGTTGGGCTTGCTTCCCGCCGCCGTAAGTAGGTCCGTGCGTGGCGCGGCGCCGCCACGCAGTTATCTTGCCTACCAACTTTACTTGCCATGCGTGCATTGCATTGTGCTCTGGCTTTGCTCGTCTTCTCTCCGCTCCGCTTCCTCCCTTCTCTTTCCCCCCTGTTGTGTCGCTTGATTGGTTTGTTCCTTCTGGCAAGGGTCTATGGTGGTCGGTATACGCATCTGCGGGCTCCTCTTCACGCGCTTGTGTGGGACAATTGTGCGAGACGCCTCCAGCGAAGTCTGGAGTGGCGTTCGCATTCACGTGCTGCGCGCCGATGGCTTGTTGTTTGTCGTCTCTCCTCCTCCTCCTCCTCCTTCTCATCCTTCTCCTTCTGTTGCTTCGTCCATATCGCTTACCGCACCGTTTCAAGACTCAATTGAATACTCCGTGCACGGGCTTGTGCGAGTTGGTGGCCGCCTTTCGTTATTCCGTCTTACCATGCGGCGGCGCAGACTTGCTGTGGTGAGATGCAGCCAATGACGTTGGAGTCGTTCGTCACTGTTGTTAGCGATGATGGTAGAGAAAATCATGATTCACGCCTGGCGTATCCCCACCAGCCCGTTCAGAAACCCTGCCCAATGAGAGTTGACGGGGAAGGGGACGAAGAGCGACGAAGGTCAAACAATACTCCGAAGATAGTCCCCCGACTATGTTTAGATTATTGTTTGATTATTTTTGGGGTATCTTTTTATTGTTCGTCGAAAATCCCCCTGTAGGGGGACGCGCCCGACTTAAGGCTATCCTGGGCCATCCTGGAGGCCAGCCTGGAGCACCGGAGGCCCTCTCGAGCCGTCCTGAACGCTCCGGCCCCCTCGGGCCCCCTCCCCCCCAAAAAAAATTCAGAGAGGGGAGGGGGATGGCACTCTTCCCCGAAGGGTCGCGCGTGCTGGAAGCGGAAAGGGAGACATCGTCAGACAGCACATGCCCCGAGGGCTGGTGACACTGCTCCCGGGGGAAGCCTCCGAAAGCATTCCTCACTAACCCAAAACAGGCGCCCAATCCCAAAAACGCGAGGGCCAAGACAGAACGCAGGCTCCTCGAGACTTCGGAGAGGGAGACTTGGGGACAAGGACGAACGCAAAACATACCCCGAAATCTGTGGCCGATCTTCGAATCCTCGGTGAATCCGCGATTTTGGAGTCGGGGATGTGTTTTTTCTTGGTCAATTTCCCCTCGCCACCCTCCTCGCCCTCCTTCTCGCCGCAGCCGGTTTGGCCGAGGTGGGATCTGGTCTCGAGCCTGCCCCCGCGCGAGCGCACGGCGGGCCTCAGGGATTCAGGAGGGGAAAAAAAACACACACAGACACAATGAATCCTCGATTCCCCAGAAAAGATGGGAAAATATGGGAAGTGGGGGGGAAGACAGAGACCCAGAGAATATGGAAGAATATGGGGAATCCGATTATTTTTGTGTATTGATTTGTGTGTCCTTGGGCCCCTTCAGGGATGGCGTTCCTCAGGCGCTTCGCGAAGAAATCGCTGAAGGTCGGCGTCGTGGGCGGCGGCCTGGTGGGCGGCGGTGTGCTGGCCAACACGGCCATCAACGACGACCTCGACGACATCTCCTACGCCGTCAAGAGGAGGTTCTACAAGGCTGCCAAGAAGGACGCTCCCAAGAAGAAGGTCGTGGTTCTCGGGTCTGGATGGGGAGCCCTCTCTTTCGCGCGGAAGCTGGACGCGGACGAGTACCACGTCACAGTGGTATCTCCGCGGCCGTTTTTCTTCTACACGCCGCTGCTGGTGGGCAGCACGACGGGCGTGGTCTCCCCCGGCGCCATCATCGAGCCGATCCGTGACACCGCGCCGGGGTGCGAGTTCCTCCGCACGGAGTGCAAGGACGTCGACCTGGAGAACAGGAAAGTGATCTGTGACGGTGCGGTGACTCTGGACTACGACCACCTCCTCATCGCCGTCGGAGCGCAGCCGAACACGTTCGGCATCCCTGGCGTGGAAAAGTACGGGAAGTTCCTCAAGGATCGGGGTCGTCCAGGAGGGGAGTGAGGACAGAGGAGTCAACGCGCATATTGGGACGCGCGCCTTCTCTGGGGTGCCTTTGTGTCCTTGCCTCTGCGGTCAGTCCTTTGCTGTTTCCACTTGCCAGCCTCTCCGCCCTTGGGGGTTGGTCGCCCGCCGCCCAACAGATCCCACCTTCGGTCTCAAAGGGTCCTGCGTCCTTGCCACCCGTCCTCGCTATACGTTTTCTCAGGAGGGGAAAATACACAGGCACAATTAATCGTCGATCCCCAGGAAAAGATGCGAAAATGTGGGAAGTGGGGGGGAAGACAAAAGCCCAGAAACTACGGGAAGATATAAGGAATCTCTTTATTTGTATGTATTTATTTGTGTGTGTTCTGGGGCCCCTTTATTTTCACGGTATTTCAATGCGTCCCTTCGTCCTCGGCTCGTCCGCGCACGTGCCTGCGACCACGATTCACGCACTCCTCTCTCGGGCGCCCCCCTCTTGGACGCCCCCGGCAGGAGATCGAGCACGGCCGCCATGTGCGGAAGGAGATGCTGGACATCATTGACAAGGCTTGAGTCGGGCACGTCCCTCGACAGGAGGAGTGTCCAAAAATAGTCAACACATAGTCTGGGGACGATACTTCTAGTATTTTTGATTATGTTTGACTATTTTGCTGACTTTAAAAACATACCTTTCCTCCAAAAACCGCCTGTAGGAAGACATGCCCAACCTAAGACAAGGCGGACCTGGCCCTGGCCGCCGGGGACCTCGAGAAGACGAAGCAGCTCCTGAACTTCGTGGTGGTGGGCGGGGGCCCGACTGGCGTCGAGTTCTGCGGGGAGCTGTCGGACTTCATCAAGCAGGATCTCGCCAAGCGGCACCCGAAGATCGCCGAGTACATGAAGGTTCGGCGGCGCGCTGAGGGGGCAAGTGTTGAGTTGGGCATGTCCTTTCGCATGAGGAATATTCAAACAATGTGCTTTACTGGTATTTCTCAAAACACAGAAAAAACTACGTTTGTTTCAATCGTCTGGGGGCGATGTTTCTAGTATTTCGTTTATTTTTGAATATGTTTGACTATGCTTATGCGTTCGCCCGAAATCCGCCTATAAGAGGATATGCCCGACCTAAGGCAGGTGACAGGCTCAGAAGGCGGTGGGGCTTTTCAGAAACCCCCCAGTCGTCTGGGAAGCCTTCTGCGGTTTCAGAGAAGGCCTGGGGAGCTTCTCAGGAGGCCGGCTGCCTCCTTAGCCTTCTGAGAAGACCCGCCCCCTCTTCGGGGGAGCGTAAGACCCGGGTTTGCCGGGACTCGGGTTCGCCATCGTTTTTTGACGACCGCGACTCGGATTTTGACGAGGAGGAGTTTCGTGGGATGTCTGCAGCGGGAGGCCTCGTCAAAATGCAGGCTCGGCCTCGCCATTTTTTTGACGACCTCGTCGGGGATTTCCGAGTCCCCCGTACCCGGGTCTTACGTCTCCCCGATCTCTGCCTTCCCTCCTCGGGCGGAGCTGGGACAGGGATACATCTTTCCGGAGCGGTCGGGAACGCTCCCAGGGCGGTCCAGGACGCTCTGAGAAGGCCGCGGCGCCCGACGAATCGCCCAGATTTTTGCGGGCCTCGGAGATTTCCCAATTCGTCCCTGTCCGAGTTGGTCCTTGTCCTTGAGTCGGGTCTGTCCCTCCACAGGGGAAGTATTCAAACATAAGCAAAAAATGGTCTGGGGACGAATTTTTAGGCCGTTTTTTATATTCAAAAATAAGCAAAAAATTGTCAGGGGACGAATTTTTGGGGTATTTTTTAATTTTTTTCGTCCAACATCCGCCTGCGGGGGGACGCGCTCGACCCTCGCAGGCCTAGAGGTTGCCACCAACACCAAGATCGGCGGTGTGCCTCCACCGAGGGAAGACGGTCCCGATCTCGGTGATGGTGGTGATGTTCTGGCTTCCAAGGCGACCGAACTATTACCACCAGCACCGAAATCTGGGATCCTCTCCCCCCTGTGGAGGCAAACCCCCTCTGTTGGTGTTGGTGTCAATTTCCAAGCCTCCAAGACCTATCCTCGTCTTGACTTCGCCGCCCTCCTGGGCGCGCCACCGAGAGGTGACGCTGGTCGAGGCGCTGCCCGGGCTGCTGACCATGTTCCACAAGACCGTCGGGGGGTACGTCCAGGCTGACGGGCCTGCTTTCCACCACCACCACCACCACCCATAGGTTGGAGGGGGAGGGGGTCCTCCTCCTCCTCCTCCTCCTCCTCCTCCTCCTCCTCTTCCTCCTCCTCCTCCTCCTCCTCCTCCACCTCCTCCCCCCCTCCACCTTGTTGTGGTGGTGGTGGAAAACATGCCCATCACAGGAGCACCTCGCCAACCAGGGCGTCGACATCAAGCTCAGCGCGATGGTCAAAGAGGTGGACGAGAAGCACGTGTCCCTGAAGGTTCAGGCATTGAGGAAACGTCCTCCCAGAGAATGTTGGCACGCAGGGGTCGGGCGGACAATCGCGAAGCTCTGCACTATCTGCTTTTCACTCTGAATCAGAAAGCCTTGAGTTTGAGCCATATCAGCAATGGTAAGACAAGACGCGTACGCAAGTTTACAAGATAACATTGCAAGTGCAAGCGACACAGACAGACAGGGAGAGGGTGCCGGAACGTGCGTCAACAGAGAAGTGTCGACGGAGGAGATCTGCAAGTGTTCGCTCGACATCGGCATTCGAGCGAACATGTGCAGTCCCCAGTCGGGCTCCGCGATCGCCAGATACGTCTTGCGTGTTTTGGACGTCGATGGGCTACCCTGCCCAGGCCCACTCGGAACTCGCTGCCGTGCGCACGTGGAGTGCTCCCGGCAGCTTTCGTTCAAGAGCGTTTTGCTTAAGGGTGGCCGGGCGTGGCCAGCACTGGAATTACAGTCGGGGCCCTGAAGAAGGAACCCTTTTCGTTGGGGAGGGGTTCCGCGTTCCTTGATTGTTTCACAGCTTGCCTTGGATTTTCTTTAGGCTTTCGATACGAAATCGAAGTTCAACTGATGGAAAATAGGGGCCTCGTTCCTTATTTAGGGTTCCTTAGGTCAACGCCCCGCCTGTAATCGTTCCAGAGCGTTCTGGAACGCTCTGAGAAGGCTGCGGCGCCCGCTGCGTCCTCCAGAACCGCCGAATCTCAGAGATCCCCGATCTGCTCCAGTCCGACGTTGTCCCGGTCCTGGCTGCGTCTTCTGTCCGGGGGCTTCCGAGAGACAGTGATGATTCAGGGGGGATAGAATGGCTGTGACCATGGTATCTCCCCAGATGTCATGGCGCCTCTTCTTATTCCAAAGCGTTACCTGGTCCCCCCTGGGCAGCGCACAGGCCTCGCGCCATGATTTGCGAAAATACTCCTCGGACACCTCCCTCTTGGGTCAAGTCGGGCCTGTCCCTCTACAGGAGGAAAATTCAAAAATAGTAAAACAATAGTTTGGGGGCATTGTTTTTTGAGCATGTGTTGGTCATTTTTGAAAATGTTTGACTATTTAAAAATTTCTCCTCGAGGATTCCCCTTTAGGGGGACAGGCCCGTCTTAACCCTAGTAGGTGAAGGATGGTTCCATCCAGAAGATGGACTACGGCCTGCTCGTGTGGGTCGCTGGCGTGGGCATGCGGCCCTTCACCCGGTCCATGTGCGAGAAGATCGGCAAGGAGAACCAGCCTCGAACGTATCCCTATCCCTAAGATTGACACGCCAAAAGGCGATGACAATCTTAGGGATTCGCCCTCAGATTGGCATCGTGATGAGGAGATGCCCAGCATAGGGATATGGGATATGTTCAAGGCTGGTAAAAGGAGAACGGGCAGACCGACCGGCGCGGGCTGCTCGTCGACGAGTGCCTCCGCGTCAAGGGCACGAGGCCCGGCGAGGTCTTCGCGATCGGCGACTGCGCCGTGAGCGGCAAGCCGCCGACGGCCCAGGCAAGCCGCCGACGGCAACCGTCACCCTCGGTCGTCGAGAGTAGACGCTCCAGGGCGACGAGGTCTCCACATATCCACCGCCGCTGGCCGGGCTCATCCTGGGCCCGGGATGGGCCCGACCCGCGGCAGCAGACATGTCTCAGACCTCGTCGCGCTACGATGTCGACTACACGTAAGAGTGACCCTTCGCCGGAGTGACCTTTGGTGCGCGCTCATTGGGGTTCCCCGATCGCCGCGCTCGTTGCGACAGTAGCGTCTTGCGCGCTTGTGTTTGGCCTCCTCGCGCCCCCCAAAAGCCGCGCACCAAAGGTCACAGGGTCACTCTTACGTGCAGCCGATAGTATTGGATTTCCGACTCCCGATCTTCAGGGGCAACGGTACAGAGGGATAACTAGGCTTTGGGGGGGGGACGCGTCGGCCCCCGCTCGCACAGTGATCGCCGATACTAGGGGCCCGACATCTCACCTCGCCCGGGAGCGTGTGGCTTCGCTACCGGAGGCCTAGTTTCGATGTCTCGGCGACGTGTCGCCGATTCCGGTTCGATGCTTCTCCCAGGGCTGGACCTCAACGGTGTTCTGGCGATCTCGTGGGCCGTTCTCGTTTCGACCTCGTTCTGCGGCAGAGGCGGATGGAAGACAAATCGTGGGAAAACGAAAACAAAGCAAATACGAAAAACACCGTTTAGTTTCAGCCCTGGGTTCTCCCCCATGTGCCCCCCCCCCCCCCGATCGTACCCCCTCAAATCTGTTTTCGGCGCCTTCTGCCTCGATCGTCGAGTTTGTGCTTCCCTTCTCCTTCCTCTGGGAGGGGGTGCGGCCTGCCAGCCGGTGCCCCGCGGGCGCGTCGTGTCGGCCAGTGGCCCCAGGCACCGACGGAATTTCGGGGGCATCTTGGACCCTGAAAGATCGACGAAGAGTGTGCCACGTGATGTTGCGCAGGCCTTACGGCCGGCGCCGCCGACCTCGAAAGGGGACGACGACGACGACGACGACGACGACGACGACGACGACGACGACGACGACGACGACGACGACGACGACGACGACGACGACGACGGCGGCGGCGACGGCGACGGCGACGGCGACGGCGACGGCGACGGCGCCCCGGGGACCGACGGAAGCTCGGACCCTGCCAGACCGGCGAAGAGTGCGCCCCGTGACCTCTCTTAGGGGAAGAGCTCTTGCCGTGTGCTCGGCGGCGCGCCCAGGGGGGGACGCGACAGTGAGCATGGCCCTCTCGGAACGCGGCGGGGCTTCTCAGAAAAGCCCCCCCAGCCCTCTGGGAGGCAGCCCCTGTCTTCGGGGCAGGCTTCGAAGACTCCTGGGAAGGCCCGATGCCTCCCGAGCCTTCTCAGAAAAGCCCCCCCCCGCCTTCTGGGAGGCAGCCCCTGTCTCTGTCTTCGGGGCAGGCTTCGGAGACGTCTGGGAGGGCCCGAGGCCTTCTCCGAGCCTTCTCGGAAGGCCCGCCCCCTTCTGCGTTCACCCCGGAGCGCGACACTGGTTGGATTCTCAGGTCCCAATCTGTTTCAGGCGCCTTCCTACCTCAACATCCGAGTGTGTGCGTGCGTCGTTCGCAGTTGGCACCTCCATCTGCCGACCGCGCCTCAGGTTCCTATGCGCCAGCGACTTAAAAGTGCTTGTGTGTGACCCTTTGACCTTCCTCTGTAGGGGGGCGGCCTGCCAGCAGGTGCCCCCCAGACATGTCGTATCCCAAGATGGCCCCAGAGAGCGACCAAAGCCTGGGGGCACCTCAGGACCCCGAAGGATCGAGGAAGAGTATGCCCCAGGATTTCTCGTGGCAGGATCTCGTGTCGTATCGGAGGAGTGGGGAAGGTACAGTCGGGGCCCTGAAGAAGGAACCCTTTTGGTTGGGGAGGGGCTCCGTGTTCCTTCAGTGTTTCACAGCTTGCCTCAGGTTTTCCCAAGGTTTTCGATGGGGAATCGAAGTTTAACGTATGGGAAAGGAGATGCCTCGTTCCTTATTTAGGGTTCCTTAGGTCAACTCCCCGACTGTAGGGGAGGGCAGCGTTCTCTAGAGAGCTTCGGTGCTCGGGCGGCGCCCCGACTTAGGGGGTGGGGCGACCGCGGGAGTTCCGTTCTCAGTCCGTCGGGGGGCGAGCTCTTTGATCCATGGCATGGACCACGCTCCTGAGCGCGACAGCGAGCCGTTGCAGTGGGGGCGCGTGCCAAGAAACCAGTTGGATTCTGCCAGGGTGCCCTGGGTTTCTTGGATTTCGATGGGCCCCCAATCAAGATCTTGACGATTTTCGATCGACGAATTTGGGTTTTCACTGAACAAATCGCGGATTTCAGGGTTGGGTTTCTTGCGGAGGTTTCTTGTGGCCGAGCCCCCACTGTACAGTCGGGGCACTGAGGAGGGAACCCTTTTCGTTGGGGAGGGGCTCGGTGCTCCCTAGCTGTTTTGCAGTTCGCCTTTGGTGTTGCTTAGGGTTTCGAGAGGAAGTCGAAGTTGAAACCATGGGGAAAAGAGGCCTCGTTCCTTGTTGAGGGTTCCTTAGGTCAACGCCCCTTCTGTACCGAGTACGGCGTATGGCTAAGTGTAAAGTTATTGAGTCTTTTCATTGGCAATCGAGGTCAAACATACTGGATCGGCCCTCACAGCTGCCGAAGAGGCAGTTAAAATTCTTATCGCAGTTGCCTGCCGCACCCGTCCTGCGCACTCGCGGTCTGGCCTCGGGGGCGCGATCCCGTGGATGCGCGGCCGCAGGGGTGCGTTCTGCGCGTGGCATCCGCGGCAACGCCCCCCGCCTGCACGGGGCAGCGGCCCGGGGGCCCTGCCCGCAGGGCCGTGGACATGGATACCCCAGATTTCGTAATAAAAGGGAGGGGGTCTGGACCTTCCAAGACAAGCCATTTCAGACCTCCCCCGTGGGAGAACCCTCCAAAACATCGTCCCCAGACCCCCCCCAGGCCCTCCAAGATAGCCTGGAAGAGACCCCCCCCGAGATGAGACCCCCCTCCCTTTGTTACGAAATCCGGAGCATGTTCTTGCCCACGACAGGTGGCGTACCAGCAGGGCAAGTACCTGGGCCGCCTCTTCCGCCTCGGCCAGCAGCACCTGATTCCCGACCCGGAGGCGCCCAAGTTCGAGTACAACCACCAGGGGACCATGGCGTACATCGGCCAGGGCGAGGCGGCCACGGAACTCAACCCGAACGGCCTCATCAAGCTGGGGCGGTCGTCCGTCACCGACCACTTCTGGTGGCGGTCCCTCTACGGGGAGTGCGACCAGCTGCGGATCATGGGCCCCATGGGCTTCGCCATTTGGCGCTCCGTGTACTTCAGCAAGCTGGTTTCGGTGAGGTGGGGCGACGGGATCTATACATATCCACTGCCCCATGCCTGGGCCATCCTGCTCGTAGGATGGGCCTGGCCCGGGACGGCGGAGATGTATAGGTCTGGTCCCCCTGTGAGGAACCGTTGGTCCGTCGCGAGCGACTGGATGCGCACGTCGTTCTTCGGGCGGCCGGCCTGCTCGTCTGCGCAGGGCACCGCTGAGGCCTGCGCATAGCGCGTGGGCTCACCTCGCCTTGCCGGGCCCCTGCGGGGAGGCCACCACTTTTCCCTGACCAGTCTGAAGCAGATCCCTGTCCCTCCTCTGATCTCGGTGCCGACCTTCCGGATGCCCTCCGCCTCTGAAGGCACATCCTTAAGATTGTCATCGCCTTGGGCGTGCTGATCTCAGGGATAGGGATTAGCTCGAGGCTGGGTAATTCCCGCTCCCCGCGACTCCCGCCGCGGGGCGCCTGCTCATCGGAGTTCGGGGGTGTCCAAGACGGGGGTGATGGCTGCAGCGGCGGGCACGTCATGTGAGAAGCTGGCCTGCCAGCAGGTGCCCCACGAAAGGGAGGAGCAAAGAGAACGCATACACATTATTCGTCGGAGGTCCGCGCGGATTTCTTGGATCGGCGCTGGCCCCTGCATCTCTGGCGCCGCCCCTGGCGCGCTCCGCGCGCCAGGCAGGGGGGTCCAGCGCCGATCCAAGAAATCATTCTGAATCACTGGAAGTCCATGCTTATGCAATTTTTCTTTTTTCGAGTTGATTCCCCGATGAGCCTGGGGGCCCACAGAAGCCCCTGGGGCACCTTGGGGGGACCTGAAAGATCAATGATGCATGCGCCCTGATACAACTTGTAGCTGGATCTCTTATCGCATGTATCTACTGGTGGGGTGAATATCGTGGCCAGGGCCATGATATCTCCCGCGGGCCATGATCTGCTAACCCTCGTCTCGAACGCCTGCTCTTGGACGCCCCCGAGCTTGCTTCGGAGGCGTTGGCCTCACCGAGCTCCTGCGCGCAGGCCACTTGCGCAACCGAGCAATTCTGCCTGCGCCTGGCGCACCTGTCCGCCCTTGGGGCATCGGGACGGCCAGTCCCTGACAAGTTGTTGCCCGTTCCGATGGACCTCAGGACGCGTATGAGCCCGGCGTGCGTGCGTGCGTGCGTGCGCGCGTGTGTGTGTGTGTGTGTGTATGTGTGTGTATGTGTGTGTGTGCGTGTTGGTGTGTTGGTGTGTTGTTGTGTCGGTGTGTGGTGTGTTGATGTGTCGGTGTGTGGTGTGTCATGTGTGGTGTGTGGTGTGGTGTGTGCTGTGTGCGTGTTGGTGTGTTGGTGTGTAGGTGTGTTGGTGTGTGGTGTGTGGTGTGTGGTGTGTGGTGTGTGGTGTGTGGTGGTGGCATGTGGTGTGTTGTGTGTGGTGTGTTGCCTGGTGTGTGTTGTGTGTTTTGTGTTGTGTGGTGTGTGGTGTGTGGTGTGTGATGTGTGGTGTGTGTGTGTGTTGTGTGTTGGTGTGTTGGTGTTGTGTGTGTGCGTGTTGGTGTGTTGGTGTGTTGTTGTGTTGGTGTGTTTGTGTGTTGGTGTGTCGGTGTGTGGTGTGTGATGTGTGATGTGTGGTGTGTGGTGTGTGTGGTGTGTAGGTGTGTAGGTGTGTTGGTGTGTGGTGTGTGGTGTGTGGTGTGTGGTGTGTGGTGTGTGGTGTGTGGTGAGTGGTGTGTGGTGTGTGGTGTGTGGTGTGTGGTGTGTGGGATGTGGGGTGTGGCGTGTGGCGTGTGGGATGTGTGGTGTGTGGTGTGTTGCCTGGTGTGTGGTGTGTGTTGCCTGTTGTGTGTTGTGTGTCGTGTGGTGTGTGGTATGTGGTGTGTGGTGTGTGGTGTGTGTTGTGTGTTGGTGTGTTGGTGTGTTGGTGGGTTGGTGTGTTGGTGTGTTGGTGTGTTGGTGTGTGGTGTGTGGTGTGTGGTGTGTGGTGGTTGGTATGGTTGGTGTGTGTGTGTGGGTGTGTGTTGTGTGGGTGTGTTGGTGTGTTGGTGTGTTGGTGTGTTGGTGTTTTGAAGTGTGGGTGTGTGGGTGTGTGGGTGTGTCGGTGTGTTGGTGTGTTGGTGTGTGGTGTGTGGTGTGTGGTGTCTGGTGTGTGGTGTGTGGTGTGTAGTGTGTAGTGTGCGGCGTGTGGTGTGCGGCGTGTGGTGTCTGGTGTGTGCTGTGTGCTGTGTGCTGTGTGCTATGTGCTGTGTGCTGTGTGCTGTGTGCTGTGTGCTGTGCGGTGTGTGGTGTGTGGTGTGTGGTGTGTGATGTGTGGCGTGTGGCGTGTGGTATGTGGTGTGTGGTGTGTGGTGTGTGGGTGTGTGTGGGTGTGTGGCGTGTGGTGTGTGGTGTGTGGTGTGCTATGTTGGTGTGTGTTTTGTGCGTTGGGTTGTGTGCTGTGTGCTGTGTGTTGTGTGTTGTGTGTTGTGTGATGTGTGATGTGTTGTGTTGTGTTGTGTGTTGTGTGTTGTGTGTTGTGCGTGTTGTGTGTGTTGTTATTGTTGTGTGTGTGTTGTGTGTTGAGTGGGTGTTGTGTGTTCTGTGTTGTGTGTTGTGTGTTGTGTGTTGTGTTGTGTGTTGTGTTGTGCTTTGCTGTGTTGTGTTGTGATGTAATGGGCTCCGTTGGGCTGTGTTATGCTATGTTATACTGTGGTGTGCTGTGGTTTGCTGTGGTGTGCGTGCGTGCGTGTGTGCGTGTGTGCGTGTGTGTGTGTGTGTGTGTTGGTGTGTTGGTGTGTTGGTGTGTTGGTGTGTCGGTGTGTGGTGTGTGGTGTGTGGTGTGTGGTGTGTGGTGTGTGGTGTGTGGTGTGTGGTGTGTGTGGTGTGTGGTGTGTGGTGTGTGGTGTGTGGTGTGTGGTGTGTGGTGTGTGGTGTGCGGTGTGTGGTGTGTGGTGTGTGGTGTGTGGTGTGTGGTGTGTGGTGTGTGGTGTGTGGTGTGTGGTGTGTGGTGTGTGGTGTGTGGTGTGTGGTGTGTGGTGTGTGGTGTGTGGTGTGGGTTGTGTGTTGTGTGTTGGTGTGGTGTGTTGTGTGTTGCGTGTTGCGTGTTGCGTGCTGTGTGTTGTGTGTTGTGTGTTGTGTGTCGGTGTGTTGGTGTGTTGGTGTGTTGTGTGTTGGTGTGTTGGTGTGTGGTGTGTGGTGTGTGGTGTGTGGTGTTTGGTGTGTGTGTGTGTGTTGGTGTGTGGTGTGTGGTGCGTAGGTGTATTGGTGTGTTGGTGTGTTGGTGTGTGGGTGTGTGGCTGTCTGGCTGTGTGGCTGTGTGGCTGTGTTGGTGTGTTGGTGTGTTGGTGTGTTGGTGTGCGGTGTGTGGTATGTGGTGTGTGGTGTGTGGTGTGTGGGTGTGGTGTGTGGTGTGTGGTGTGCGGTGTGCGGTGTCTGGTGTCTGGTGTGTGGTGTGTGGTGTGTGGTGTGTGGTGTGTGGTGTGTGGTGTGTGGTGTGTGTTGTGTGGTGTGTGGCGTGTGGTGTATGGTGTGTGGTGCGTTGTGTGTGGATGGGTTGTGTGTGGTGTGTGGTGTGTGGTGTGTGGTGTGTGGTGTGTTGTGTGTTGTGTGTTGTGTGCTGTGTGTTGTGTGTGTTGTGTGGTGTGTGTGGTTTGTGTTGTGTGTGTTTTGTGGTGTGTGGTGTGTGGTTTGTGTTGTGTTGTGTTCTGTGTTGTGTGTCGTGCGTGTTGTGTGGTGTGTGTGGTATGTGTGTGTCGTTGAGTGTTCGTTGCGTGCCGTCTGTGTTGTGTGTTGTGTGTTGTGATGTGTGTTGTGCTGTGTTGTGCTGTGTTGTGCTGTGGTGTGCTATGATGTTGTGCTGTGGTGTGCTCTGTTGTGCTGTGTTATGCTGTGTTGTGCTGTGTTGCGCTGTGGTGGTGTGTGTGTGTTGTGGGTGTGTGGGTGTGTGGGTGTGTGGGTGTGTGGGTGTGGGTGGGTGTGTGGGTGTGTGTGGGCGTGTGGGTGTGTGGGTGTGTGGGTGTGTGGGTGTGTGGGTGTGTGGGTGTGGGGGGGGGTTGGAGGAGGAGAAGGAGGGGGGGAGTGGAGGGGCGTGGTGGAGGAAGGGGGGGGGGGATGGGCAAGCTCCGTCGGAAGGTTAGTCGTCCACTCCTCGATTGATATCCCACCCAGAGTATGCTTATGCCACATGGTGCTGTTGTCCTACTCCAGGAGACAGGCCCACGTTGACGCCAGACCCACGCGTCCTGAGTGCATCTTGGGCCGTGCGCCTCACCCCGTCGGTCCTTGTTCGGCGGCGAGCGAGGGGGGGAAGTGAGAAAGAGAAGGCCTTCTCAGAAGGTGACGGGGCTTCTCGGAAGGCCCCCGGCCTTCGGAGAGGTGTTCTTTGTCTTCGGGGAAGGTTCAGACAACTGGTCAAAAGACCGGGGAACATCCGAGCCTTGTGAGATACAGTCGGGGCGCTGAAGAAGGAACCCTTCTCGTTGGGGAGGGGCTCGGTGTTCCTTGATTGTTTCACAGCTTGCCTCAGGTTTTCCTTGTGTTTCCCATGGGAAATCGAAGTTTAACTTATGAAAAAAAGGGGCCTCGTTCCTTGTTTAGGGTTCCTTAGGTCAACGCCCCGACTGTAGCCCGCCCCTTCTAACTTCCCCCCCCTCTCTCGCCGCCGACTCGCTGAGAGGCCCCGAGATCGCGTGAGACTCCCAAGGGGCTGCGTTCTCGCCCCTCGGCCTGCGCGCGCAGCTCGGGCAGTGCCAAGGTCGGGGCCCCCCAGACGGTGCGGTGGCCACCGCGTGCGGTCCTGTGTCTCTGGCGACGTGTTCCCCACATCCTAAGCGGGTTTCTCGTTTTCTCTGGACGCCCTGAGCAGTCCTCCCACCCACCCCCCACATCATCATCACATATCACACTCATCATGATTACCATCACCATAGTCACCATCACAATCATCGCACCACCATCGTCATCACCATCAGCAGCATCATCATCATGATTTCCGGTAGCAGCATCATCATTGTTACCATCCCATCATAATCGTGATTATCATCATTATCCTCATCATGATCATCATCATCAGCATCATCAGCATCATCAGAAACCATATCAGTATCATCATCAGCATCATCATCACCATCATGCTCATCAGCATCAGCATTATCGACCATCCTTCGTCATCATCACCAGCATCATGAGCACTGCGCACATTCCTCCACTCACTCTCTCACACACACACACACACACACTCATTGTGAGGAAGTTTTGAGCGGGGACCTCGTCTG